AACTACTAAACATCGTTAATGAAAGAAACATTACCTTGTTTATATTCTGAGGCGAAGCAAAATATGTTTAATAGATTGAAGAGCCTTAAAGAGCCTTAAATCAACTTTTGTGTAGTTTGAAGAAGAAGATTCGTCATACAAAAGTATTCATTAACTTCATTGTATAACATCTAAAAACATATAGGGAAAATGTGTACAAAATGACATATAGTTTTGTTTTTGTTTCATAACTTTTTATTGGTAGTTCACAGCACTTAATAGTCCATAACTTACATCAACTATGTTTGGTTCGCAAATTATCTAAATAAATAGTAAATAAACTAATCAACATTTTTAAATATATATAGACAAAAAAAGGAGATCAATTATAAACCATTTTGTCTATATGCTTTAGATAAAATAAAATATTTCTTATATACAAAATATCATACATATAATAGCTACAAAATTATTGATATAATTCCCAAATGAGATCTTCTATATCAGCGTAAGACGCGTGAGTTCAAAGCGAACATTAGAAGAACCGCAACCAGTCTTCTCCAGGCTTAGATCTTGAAAAAAGGTTGTTAAACTAAATTCAAGCTCTACATCGTTCAGTACAATAAGAAATTATTGGGAAAATATTTTTCCTCATCGTTTTCTTCAAATACTGTTTTTGCGTTTTTTCTTTGTTGAGAAAGCTTTAGGCTTATTTATAAAAAAAAACATTTTAACATATTAGGAGGACAAGTCAGCACCAACGAGCTCTGTAGAATTTTTGGTTTACGTTTTCCTTGACGACTAATGAAATATTTCTTAGCACCGGAGAAAGTAGCTTAATAGGAACAGCACAAGCAGAAGACGATGCAAATTCATGGGTAGTAGCAGCAGTTAAAACAACCTTTAGACCGGAGTTAGTCGTTGGAACCCGAGATGAATTTTCTAATTGTGGGTCGGTATTTCGGCTGTATTATTTTCTTCGAATATCGTATCATGGAATCATGGCTAAACGATAGGTAACGAAGCAGCCATACAGACCTGAGACGTATTTAACACAGTAACTGAGTCATCTGCTTGTTGTGAAGGTTGTGTCAAAGCCCGTTCAGGCTAAACAGAGCTGATTACTGTTGCAGTCTTCCAGCGATATGTTTGTGGTTTCAACGAGCCCGGAAATATATCAGGGTTCAGTGGTCAGATACCAATGATTTTAAATCCGTCACATGCATTTTGGACCGTAGCTGCATTGCCATATGCTTCATTGAACAAGCCGGTGATCTGAACAAGTGTGATCTGAGTAACAATACGTCCAAGATGTACCTTTATCCATTAAGTTATTTTTTGGCTATAGTAGGTCTTTAAAGTCCCAAAAAAGAAGACGTTAAGGTCTTGCATACGATGTGGTAAATACAAACAAACAACTAAATACCGGTTTCTTCTGCATATGTCAGATTTTCAATGCTTTTATGACTTGCATGCCCATCAACATTTTGAATTACTTTTACAAAACTGTCTGTCAAAACTGTTTATCCATTTCATAAATATTTCGGTTGTGATTCAGCAAGATTGTTAAACTACTCCTAAAGTGCCAGGAGTACCTTGTTGTTCATATTTTTCTGGGAAATATTATCATCGACGGGATCAAAGTTCTAACAGCATTAATACATCTAACAAGAGTGGTGTTTGCTCCACGATACGCACTAGTTATAACACCGACTTGTTTTATTCTCGTGGTAGCTAAAATCTTTTCAGGTTTTTGTACTGTAAATAGCCCAGATTCAATGGTATAAATATAGTTAACAGAATTTAAGCAAATTTTTGGACAACCACGGCTGGAAAACTTCTGGACTCGCGGCTGATTAAATGCTTGAGCGCGAGCTACTGAAGCGTTTCTGGTTGGCGCAAAGATATATTTTTATTATGTCTTACAAATTCATTCAAGCGAAACCGTTTTTCTCATCCATTTGAAAAGCTAATTCTTGTACCGATGCCTATGTTAATCCGAGCAAACGACTTTCAAGGATCTTTATATACTCCACTAATTGCCTTTCCACATCAGGTGGAAAGGTAGCTTTCCACCAACCAAGGTCTTTGGAATAATACTTTAATGTTTTATTAGTGCAAAAAGAGGAATTGCTTGAGGAATGCCAAATGTTTTTGTGGCCAAAAGTCATCCCATTTTCCTACTCATCTCCGTACCCTTTTAGTACTCCAAGATTTCCGAGCAGTCGTTCGTTTATAATAAAGTACCAATCTATATGTCTTTGTATAAGTGGTTTGTAAAAAAAGTAATTATTGCATAATGTAAAATTCAAATCAACTTTTAGCCAGGGCATAAGATATGTGACGGAAAAAGTATGCCTCATGTTATAGTTCTTAAAAAAATAAAATTCATGTACTAAGATCCATTATAATAAGGTTAGAAAGGTAAAGCAAAAATTATAAAATATAGTGAGACCTACCAATACTACTTAAAACCTAATCATAATAGCCTTACAATATAACTATTGTCTATTAGAACATAATAAAATTCAATATAAATCAGCATCTAATATGATTTTTCAGAAACAGCTACTTGAACAAAACTACTACTACTATCGGTTTATAGCGTTCTCCGACGCCTTCCCACTCCTAATCGCCATTCTTCTCTATTCAACCATAGGCCTGGAGGATTTCTCTTTCCTCTATTTCTTTTCCAATTCTCCCTCTGCAGCTTCTTCTCGGTCTTCCTCTTTTCCTTCTCCCTTGTGGTGTCCACGTCAAAATCTGTTTTGGAATCCTGTCATCTGGCATTCTCTGTACATGGCCGTACCATATTAACTGTTTTGTTTTTATGTCATCAACTATTGTATGCTTGACTCCCATCATTTCTCGTATTCTCTCATTTGGTATTCGATCTCTTCTTGATTTGCCTGCGGCTCTTCCCCAGAAGTCCATTTCTGTTGCTAGTAACAGTTTCTCTGTTCTTTGTTTCATTGGCCAAACTTCACTGCCATATGTGATTACACTTATAAGTATGGTGTTGTATATGAGTTGTTTGTTCGCTATAGATATTGTTTGGTCCTACAGAATGCCTTTCATCATGGATATAGCTTTTCTACCCTCTATGTTTCTATCTTTTATAGCAGCATCGAGTGTTCCCTCTTGAGTTATCTTTATACCCAAGTACTTGTATTCATCACAGTTTCTAATTTCTACCCCATCGTCTAATATAATGGACTCTTTTGTCCCTCCAATACACATGGCTTCAGTTTTCTTAATATTGACTTCGAGACCCCATTGACCCCATTGACCCGATGACCAAATCAGTATTTGGTCATCAGCGAAACATAAGGTGTACACTGTAGTTTCGTCATTGAGAGGGATTCCCATGCCATTACATTTTCTTTTCCATAGCTTGAGTGCTTGTTCTAGATAAATTTTGAAAAGAGTAGGCGAAATACAGCAACCCTGCTTTAGTCCTTTCGTGACCTTAAATCCTTCAGATATCCTTGATCCAGTTTTAATTTTTGCAGTCGTTCCATTATACAGACTTTGGACTGCTTTGATAAGACCATGCTTAATGTTGGTGTGCTGTAGGGTTGACCATAGTTTACTTAGGGGTACACTGTCATATGCTTTTTGTAAGTCTACGTACACCAGGTGAACTTCTTTATTGAAGGCTGTTTTTTTTCTCAATAACTTGCGTAATAGAGTACAGGTGGTCTACTGTGGATCGCCCAGCTCTAAAACCAGCTTGCTCCTCTGCTTCGTAATCTCTATAGTCATTTTATATTTTGTTCTTAATAAGTTTCCCATACATCCTACTTATTGTGCTGTTTACCGCAATTCCTCTGTAATTTTCACACTGTTCACAATCAAGTTCATTCAGAACATTTTATTTGTATATCTTTTAAAATCGGTTGGAAATGAAAAAGACAATAACTAATAAAAAAGCTTACATAAAAGTAAGAACTTATTGTGTATAATGGTATATTATTTATTAAAATAGTTTAAAAATTTTATCCAAAAGGATTACAAATAAATCTTCAAACCATTTTCAGTCCAGTCGGACCATCATCAATGATAAAGACTAAAAGTATATTTCCACGTTAAAATGACAAAAAACGTAAGGTAAAATTTTGACTGATAAGTTACAAAACATGTGGAAAATACATTAAAAGTAGTTGAAACTAGCTACGTAAATAGATGTAGAAATGCTTACCTTACATGAAAGTCATGGTGAATTTTAATATATTAATGACACTGACGTCAACAAACTGAATTCATTCGAAATGTGGATGTACCGCCGAATACTAAGAATAAGCTGGACCAGCAAAACTACAAATGAAGAGGTACTGGAAATAATGAACACACGACCTACAATCAAAATTAGAAAGACGTCATATCTAGGACACATAATGCGCCATAAGGAATTTGAGCAGCTCCAGGTAATATTAGAAGGCAAAATCGAGGGTAAAAGGGTATAGGAAGAAAGAAGAAATCCTGGCTCCGAAACATCAGAAATTGGACTTACACAACAGGAAATGACTTAATCCATCAAGTCCAGAACAGAGAGAAATTTGCCATATCGATCGCCAACCTCAATAGAGAAGGCAATTAGGAGGAGGAGGAGAATGACACTAGGTCAATGTTATGATTTAACATAAAGGAAACATACATTTTTCCTGATCGAAAAGATGGACAAATTAGTCCAACTAATGGTAACAGCCGACTAATTAGGCCAGGGAGAAAGTAAAAATTTTTGTCAATCAATAAAAATCAATAATTCATTAAGGATGTTTTGTGTAAAAATTAATTTTAGAGCAACATAATCTTATAATTAAAATTTAAAAATTTTGCTAAAAAGATGAATTTAATAAAGTTAGATTGTTTTTTAACAAAAACTAGTTAATTACATGAATGAAGTAAAAGTGAGCTATGACATTATCAACTTGGGTAAAAGTGTGTAATGTGATAAAATAAATGGCAAGGCAGACTAATACCTATTGAATACTTAGTAATGGTAAATTCGTAAGACTTACTATTGGTGCAGGTACGTTGTGTGCAGACCTTGGTGGTACTGCTGGCTGTGGTGCAGTCGAGACGGGTGCAAGGGGAGGAACAGGTCCGCCACCGCCTTTTACGGTGGCCGGCTGTCCTCCTTGGACATGGAGCCGGTTTCTTAGCGTTACAAGTTCAGTGCTTAGACTTCGAAGACGCTGCTGTAAGTGAACTGCCTCATTTGAGGATGATGCATCTGAAACCAAATTAAAAACTATAAAAGAGATGTATAAAGTTGACTGTAATTAATAAAATATATATTATAAATGTTAATATTAGACTGGGGTTGAAGCGCGTCGATTATTCCTGCGCCGAGTTTTTAACATCCTCTCTGAGAGGGCATCTGAGGTCTCAGTCTACCGAGCCCCCAGACACTACTACATTGATCAATAATAAATGCACCACTGCTACTAAAAACAGCGGACGGTTTGTTTTTAGTAGCAGTGACAGCAGAATTTTGATTGGAAGCTGGAGCGGACGATATTTTCTTTCTTCTCTTTTAATTTTTAAGAGAGGTCTCTATGTCTGAGGTTACCGGATGCCGTCATCTCTTTTATTAAAACAATTTGGCCTTTTAAATATTTACCCCCAACAAACATTTTCATCTCTTGTCCGATCAATCAAAGACAACATTCCAAATGAACAATGCGGAGTTTATGAAATTCTTGGTGCAGACTGCCTCGATCTTATATAGGCTAAACAAATCGTATAATCCAAAATAGGATTTATGAACATTCCATTTCGCAATTTCGTTCAATTTCAGCTTTTAGGTAATCTGGTGTCTGTCTACAACATCTTTATACAGGTCACAAAATTAATTTTGAAAACTTCAGAACCATAGCCTTAATCCTCTTCTATAAACCAAGAATTATCCGAGAAGTCATAGAAATTGAAAAAAGGGCAAATTGTGTTAATAAAAGAGATGATGGCATCCGGTTACCTTCGGCTTGTTGACCCGTCATAAAGAAAATATCGTCCGCTCCATCCTCTAATCAAAATCCCGCCATCAAAAACGCCAACCCCCACGTCAACCCGCATCCGAACTACGTCACCATTGGCGGTATAAATAAACCGTCCGTTGTTCCAGATATTTAAAAAAAAATAGATTTCGATATATCTTTTCTCTATTGTTTTATAGATGACTGTTTGAGCGCAGCATCAGATGATAAAATCTTAGGATTCACTAAAAAACCTGTGTTTATATCCGAATATATATCCGAATTTCAACTCTCATGATCCCTTGTCCCAAAAAAAGTGTTCTGTCTCACCGATACAGCTATCAGATTATCCAACCCTATCAATAGTCCTCAATCGATATGAAAAGCAAAAACAGCACTAATACTTCATTTCATACCCACACCACCTTATCGATAAACTCTCAAGTCGCTAAAGGATTATGTCTCTTTCCTCTATAAAAGGGTTATCATAACAACTTGTAAACATTGATCATCATCAACCTGTATGCGTCCACTACTGGACATAGGTCCCCTCAGCTCTTTCCATCTGTCTCTGTCTTGTGCGACTTGCATCCAGTTATTGCTAATACGCTTCAGTTTATCAGTCCACCTAGTTGGTGGGCGTCCTCAGCTCCGCATTGCTTTTTGCCTTGGTCTCCTCTCTAAAATACGTTTTGTCCATCGGTTGTCTGATAATCTGGCGACGTGTCCTGCCCATTTCAATTTTAACAACGCGATTGTTTCGATATCGTCTGTTATTTATGTTCTACGACGTATTTCTTCGTTTGGAATTCGGTCTCTTAGAGAGACACCCAACATCTGGCGCTCCATAGCCATCTGAGTCACGCGAATCATATTAACTACCTTTTTTGTGAGTGTTAATGTTTCCGCTCAATAAATGAGTACAGGTTATACACATTGGTCAAAGATTTAAATACATAGTTTAATTTACCAAACGCTGCCCAGGCTAATCCAACGTTGGAGATCATAAAGGGCACAATATTTTAAAAAAGAAATTTTACAAAACTCAAATAGATTTAAAAAACCGCAAATTGCGATAGCGTATATATTGGACAAACCAGTCAGCTACTTAACGCAAGAGTACGTTCTCACAAATATGTCAAAAAAAAAACCCTCACAAAACATGAAAACGAAAAGAAATATTCATTTTATTTTATTTACTATTTTGTAACATTGAAAAAGGTCTAAGTAATATGAAATTAAATATACCTAATTATTTTACTAATTTACCCTAAGGGGTGGGGAAACAAAAATCGGCATTTGTTATATTTATATGTGCTGAAAATATGAAAAAAAAATCACCAAAAATCCAACTTTTTGAATTGAGAGTATGTTTCATTCCGAAAATAACCAAATTAAGTCTGCTATTAAAAAAAAAACTAAAAAAAAGAAATAAAAATTGTTCTTCATTCACATGCAGTTAAGGTTATGTGGTAAAACATGGAGAAAATATCAAAAAAGAGAGTTGATCGTGTTTTGAGCATGTTTTTGGTCTGAAAACGGCAAACCTGATAGCGCTATTAGAAATAACCAAAAAATATATTAAAAATCGATATTTATTGACACACAGTTGAGTTTATGTGCTAAAAACCTGAGGAAAGACATTTAAAAATTGGATTTTTTCAAATTTTGAGGATGTTCAGGAGCGAAAATGGCAAATCTAACCTAACCAGTTACAAAAAAACGGAAAAATATACACGAAAAATAATTATTTAGAAGCTTACCAAAAATTTCCTAAATAACTTTTTTTTGAAAAATGCAAATATTTTTGCTAAGCTTAATTTTGATCCAAAAAATCTGAAAAGAATTACAGTGTCTTTGAACATTAAAATATACGTTCAGAATTTTTTTAGATTTTTTCAAGCAAAGGAACGCTCAGGAAATTGTTTTCTTCGAAAAAACACATATTTTGCGATAGGGGACCCCTGGGGCAGCTTAAAAAGCTAAAAATGTGGCTAAAAGTGGTTTTTAAATATGTACTGTCGATTGCTTAATCCCAAATAAGAATCTTATCCCGCTATAGCCTTTAGAATATATTTTATGTATAATGACTTAATGGGTCTGCCCTATATCATTACCCTTATTTTTATTGTAATATTTAGTTGCATGGTGGATTTTATTTAACCAACTTTTACATACTGGGTCAAAGTCAAAGATTATTTTTAAATCGTATAATGTTTTTTGAAAAAGTGTTTTTTAGTTAATAATATTTCTTGGAAAGGCATGGACATCCTGCTGAACCATTGAAAAAAAGTGAATAAAAATGTCCCAAAAATGTGTGAAACCAGTCGTTTCACACCGTTCACAATTCTCTGGTAGTCACACTAGCCACAGAGTCATCGAACGCCGACCTGCGTAGCAAAACAAGCTGGCGTAACAATACAATAAACAGCTTTTTAGTCAAGTTTCATATAGCTAAACTTTCTTTTCTTTGTGATGTATTTATTTTATAGAATACTGTTAAGACAGGCATAAATGTTTTCGATGTTGTTTTGTTATTGCTAGCTGTTTGTTGTATGTTTCAGTTGTGTCAAAATTTACTCCCAGATCATTAAAGTCTTAATACTGTGTTATTGGTCTACCATTATTTAATGTCAGATCACTAGGTTTCCCACCAATACTGAGATATTTTGTCTTTTGGATGTTAATCCTTAAACCCAAGATTTCGTACTCCATGATTCATTATCTTGCACATCATGTACTTCACGTCTTCCTTATCATTTAATACAGCTGCTCGTCATCGGCAAAATGTAAAGTGTAAGGGTTATGTTTTCGAGTTATAACTTATAACATACATTTTGAACAATGTTGGCGATATACGACATCCTTGTCTCAAGCCTTTATTCTCTTACAATTGATACGTGATATATTTTTCTATTTTACCTTTGGTTTTGTCCAATTATATAGATTTTGTAGTGCTGTAATAAGGATGTAATTTATTTTTGTACGTTTTAACATTGAATAATGAAAAGTTATTCTTTAAAACCCTGAAGAATTTAAGAACCGAAAAGGCTCCACAAACACCAAAGCAAATAAGGGACAAAGAAGGACACTTACTGCATAACAATGACCAAATCCTAGATAGATGGAAGCAATATTTCGAGGATCTACTGAATATCCAAAACGATTTAGACATTATCACAGAAGAACCAGAAGAGATAGAGCAAGAAGACCAAATTCAAGATGAAATAACTATAGCAGAAACAAAAGAAATCATACAAAAGCTTAAGAAAGGTAAGGCGGCTGGATTTGATAAAATCACAGCAGAAATGCTTAAAAACATGGGCTGCTGTTAAAAACATTGAACGGCTAACGAAAGTATGTAATAGGGCATGCCATGAGAGCCAAATACCAAAAGATTGGGAAGTGGGAGTTATTCTACCCATTTTCAAAAAGACAGACACGAATGTAGTAACTACAGTGGAATAACACTACTGAGCATCCCATCCAAAGTATATGAGAGAATACTAGAAAAACGTCTTTTACAAGAAGTCGATTCTAAAATGGAACAATCACAGAGTAGATTTAGAAAAGGCAGAACTATCCAAGATCACATTTTTACTATCAAGAAACTAATACAAAACGCACGGAACTCAAGCACTGAGTTATACCAAGCCTTTATAGACTTAGAAAAGGCATTTGATAGTACTCCAAGGAAGGTGATTGACATATGTTTAAAAAAGAAAGGTGTGAAAATTAAACTCAGGCAAGACATTATGAGCATATATAGACATACAAGGAACAGAATCAGAACCGATAATACGGAATCCGAAGAGTTCACAGTAAATGAGGGTCTACGTCAAGGACTCCTGCTAGGCCCCATACTGTTTAACATTGTCTTGGATGACATAATTAAAGAAACTAGAGCAGAAACATTGAATTTATATGCCGGACATAGAAATCTAGATGTAGTGTGATTTTCAGTGTGTGCATACGCAGAAGGAGATAAATGAAGAAGCACTCAATCGAAATTTACAACTATGGAACGCTGCACTAATTAAACGAAATTTGAGGAGATCAATAATGAGAAGACGAAAGTAATGGTATGTGGAAAAAATAAAAAACAAACGAAGATAACACCTAACGGAAACACACTTAAACAAGTCGATACTTACAAATACTTGGGAATACAAATAGAAAACAGAGGAACTGAAAAAACTGAAATAAGTTCCAGAATAGAAAGTGCTGCTCGGATGTGCCACGCAATTAAAAATACGTTTTTGTCAAAACAAGAAGAATCCCAAAAAGCCAAAGTGACCATATACAAGAAGGTGTTTGTGTCGATTTTAACTTTTGGTAGTGAAAATTGGACGCTTACCGATAAATTAAAATCGAAAATACATAGCATAGAAATAAAGTTTCTTATAAGAATAATGGGTATAACCAGGTTAGACAGGATTAGAAATGAGGCAGTCAAAGAACATCTTAAGGTCCATTTAACATTTCCCAGAGTTTCACTGATAACACGGAAAGAGTCCGTTCATGTCTATTCCCTACTTTGTTGGATATTTCCTGTCTATCGCATGTAAACAAAACTTTTTTCATTTTTAGTATATAGCTGCTCTTTTAAAGATTAATAAATCGCTTATAAAGCAATTTATTTATAGCAATTAAACATACATTTCATTTTTAATTAATTCCATTTTGAATAAACTCTAATTTAAATAAAGTGAGTCAATGTCAAGAATCTATAGGTAAATTTACATAAATTAATTCGTGTTAATTTTATGCGTGCCTACAGAATTTCTTAATGGTACAAACACGAATGTATGTATATATATTCGAATAAATAAGTGTTTGGTATGAAGTTGTTTCGCATTTGAATACGAGGAAGTTACCTTTGGAGATCAGATTCGGGGTCAACCGATCGGGCTGGTGAATGACCCACTCGATGGATGTAAACATTATTATAAATAATGAAATAATAAATATATATATATATATATATATATATATATATATATATATATATATATATATATGTATATAATGTACTGTTTTTAATGAGAATAACCTACAATTGTACTTTAAAATAAGTTTATTTTGAAGTTCTCAGTATTAATAAATTAAACAAAATTTGTTTTTGTTACTTGGTGAAAAATTCTTCTAATAATTTTATCTGACTTATTCATATTGACAATGTGCGCTCTAAGACAATGCGCTCTAAGATAATAGCCATACCAAAGCCAGGCAAACCCGCTGACATCCCAAAAAACTACAGACCAATCGCGCTTCTCTCTGCCATCTACAAACTATTAGAGAGGCTTATATATAATAGAATCAGTACAGAACTGTTCCAGGTGATCCCAGTCGAACAAGCGGGTTTTCGACCAGAACGAAGCTGCGCGGACCAGGTCATGTCACTCATCACCTACATCGAAGCGGGTTTCCAAAGAAGACTTAAAACTTCAGCGGCATTTATTGATCTCTCGGAAGCTTACGATACAGTATGGAGAGAGGGCCTTATATACAAAATTCTCCGTGCAATTCAATGTTTCCAGTTAAAATGCGTCGTCATTTTTAAAGAGTGCGTCAAGAATGTAATGGAAAACGCACTAATTTCTTTACAAGAAAGCACGGCGAACTAGCAAATGCTAAAAAACTACAACTTACCATTCAAAAACAGATATCGAAAATTCTTTGATGGCGTCCTATTTAGTAAGTTGCCGCGTTGCTCAAGCAGGTGAAGCTCACACCATCGCAGAAAACCTCAAAGCCGTACGTCCAAGACATAATTAAATGTATGTTGGACGATAAAGCCAAGAAACTAGTGAGCACGGTACCTTTGTCAAATAATACAATCTCGAGCCGTATCGGAGACTTTGGCAGTTTTAATAGCATTTGTGCGGTACTAGCACTTGGAGTCTTTGCAAGAGGGTCTATCTTTTGCAAACCATTGACAACTAACACAACTGGTGACAAAATTTTCAAGTTATTAGAAGCTTTTCCACAAAGAATAGCATTCCCTGGGATAACTGCGTCGATTTGTACACAGACGGCGCGAAGGCAATGACTTGAAGAACGTGGGGCGTCATTTCAAGAATAAAGGAAAAGCCAAGGAATGCCGCAGTAGCCACTGTATCCTCCACTGCCATAGCCTTGCTGTGAAAAAATGCCGGGTTTCCTAAAAAGTAGTTTTAGACAAAACCGTGAAGATAAATAATGTTATCAAATTAAACGACCATTGAATACAAGGCTGTTAAGAGTGGTGTGCGATGGCATGGGGAGTATACATTCGTCTTTGAAATAAAAGCTGAACTTAGAGCCTTTCTAATTGACAGCAATTTTACCTTGTTCGATCGATTGTGTAACGAGCATTGGTTAATTAAATTGGCATATATCTGTCTTTAATGCCAATTATAAAATACAAGCCTATAGGAAGAAATTCATTATTTGAGCAGAATCAGTGAACAATAAAAATCTGGATAGCTTTCCATTAATCACAGAATTTAGAGAAGAACTATAATCGGACATACCTGAAGGTGTCTTTAACAAGTTTCACACTCATTTGCTAAATTTACTTGAAAGCTTACATCATTATTTTTCTGAGGAATTCCACGACAAAATAAAGGAAAACTTCTGAGTTGCAGATCCATACCTTGCAATGTTAAAAAAGGCAGCTATCTTAACATCTCAACAGTATGAATGCCTGATAGGTTTGACGTCGGATTTTGCGATAAAAAAATTTTTAAAAGTAAATTGCTAGTAGATTTTTGGTGTCAACTCAAAGACGAATTTAAAATGTCAGATAAAGCGAAAATTATTCTTCTCCCTTTTGCAACAACATACTTATGTGAAGCAGCATTATCTGCCTATTTGAGCACTAAAACAAAATATAGATCTCTGAGTGAATGCGGAACCTGACATTCGATTGTAGTTATCCCAAGTTTAACCGGATATTAGTAACCTGTGCAAATTAAGGCAGCCTCATTATTCACATTGAAATTAAGGCATTAAGTTTTTTAAGATTTTAGAAATAGGATCTGTGTGTTCATTTTATTTTTGTCATTCGTTATATGTAATTAAGTTTCTTATGTTTGCGATTTAAAAAAATTGAAGTGCAATATTGAAGAGCTCCCTACAGAATTTCTGTCCTGAATAGTGCTCCTCGACCAAAAAACTTGGGAAACGCTGCTTTACAGTAAAGCCCTTAAGTTGATATTACGAAAGCAAAATAATAGTATATTACTTTATGAGGCGGAGAAGCATGACTTTTCTTGACGCGCCCGATATTACACGCCGAACGAAGTGAGGGCGTAATAGAGGGCAAGTCAAGAAAAGTCGCTTCTTTGCCGAATAAAGTATACTATTTTTTCTTCAAACGTAGCAATTTTCAACCATAAATAGTACAATTCATACGCTATTTTTACTCGAAATTAACTGTGACAACTATTAAAGTCGTCTAGATGTTAGAAATTAAAATAATTAAGTCGTCGCACAGTGGGGCAGGAGAGCTGAAAAGTTGGCATAAAATGAAAATACGGAATGCAGTATTTTCTGTCGCCTTTATTTTAATTTAATAGTACACAATCCTGCGTATGATTTGGCATCATTTTTTCCAATTCAATCCCACCCCCCACCCTTGCGACGCGTCGCAAAAGGCACATAGTCCCGTGTTAACAATGCATAGGCCGCAATAACGTGATTCGACTTACGTTTGATCCACTTATTTCAAGTCAAAAGTTAATTTAATAGTAAAATTGGCTACGGATATTTGATCTTCAGTAAAGTGACAATATTATTACAAATGTGATGTAATAATTAAGTAAATATAGTTTCTTATAATACGTGGTTTAAAATTACCTGTACGCAATATCCAAATATGCATTTTTTAAAAAGAGCAAGTGATTTGTTAGTGTTCCAAGACTGATCAAACTTTAATTTTGTTTTATTTTGAAAGCTTGAGTATTATTCTTTCAAAGGTCATTTTAACTTTTTGCACATATTTGCACCTTTTTTCATAATGTTATTTTTTGTGAGGTTGTGTTAACCTAACTAAATTGAACATCACCGTGAAACTGACTTTTAATGTTTCGTTATTTGTGTTATGTATTTATATATCTACAGGCACTCTCATCTCTAGCCGTCTGCCAACTTCCATCTCTACCCGTCTGTCAGTTTCAATGACAGTACTTATGTAGTCATGTGGTGTACCTGGGTGTACCTACTCAATAATAAACTATAATTACAAGTGTAATTGATAACGCCTCTTTCGATCCATTACAAATTGTTTTAGTGGATTTAATGCTTGTATAATGTTTGTGACAAGAAAAGAACTTGTTAGCATCATGAGAAGATGTAGCAGCAAAAGAATAGAAAAACAGTTTGAATTTTTAGAAGCCGAGATCGCACAGCTAACGAAATGTCAAGAGGTAAAAAAATCACTATCGCATTTTAAGACACAATAAGTCGCGTTGGTTAAAAGCGTGCAGAATGGATGACAGATTTCAAAGAAATAATAAAGAGTGGCTGAATAAACCTCTTTCATTTTCCCAAAAGAACGAAAACAGACGTGGTCGCCCAGAAGTGAGTTTTGAGTGTAGTTCTGAACGTACAAAACGACCAAAAACCAAAGAACTACGCGATTCTACATCAGCTTCGGTTTTAAGCTATGCTACACAGATGAGTTTCAGAGCAGAAGGCCATATAGATGCTTCTAGAATACTTAAAGACATTACGTCAACTACTCCAACCCGAGCTGCTAGATATAAAAAAGCCAAATCATTAGACTCCAAGCCAAATATCATGTCAGGAGAAGACGCTCTTGCTGTTTTAATTAGCGGAAAATTGTCTCGACACCAATATGGCGTGGTTAGAGCTAGTGCCCCGGATAGATTTCCTTCTTACAAGGTCGTTCAGTCTGCCAAAAGAATGTGCTATCCTGATAATATCACATCTACAGAAACATTAGTAAGCGTTCCTTTACAGAACTTACTCGATCATACCGTTCAGAGGTTAGTTCAAAGTATTCAACAGGTAGTGGAGATACACGTTAAAGACTCTGAATTAGATAAATTATGTCTTAACTCAAAATGGGGGTTCGATGGTTCCTCTGGGCACAGTTCTTACAAACAAGCCTTTCATGGACCAGAAGCTAGTGACTCCGCTGTGTTCATCACATGCATAGTTTCTGTGCGACTTATGTGTAACGCAAAGGTGATTTGGCAAAACCCTAGCCCAGCCTCAACTGTTTACTGTAGACCATTAAAAACTGAATTCGTTAAAGAGTCTGCGCAAGTTTCCATTGCAGAAAAAAAAAGAGTCGATGCTGAAATAGATGAATTGCAAAACTCTACTACTACAGTTAACAACAGGAATGTCCATATACGTCACAAACTTATTTTCGCTATGGTAGACGGAAAAGTCTGCAATGCACTCACGGAGACAACTTCAACTCAGAAGTGCTTTTTATGTGGTGCAACATCGAAGAAGTTTAACAACGTTGAAGAAATGATCGGCAGAAGTGTCAAAAGGGAAACTTAAGTTTCGGTTTGTCAGTTTTGCACGGTTGGATTCGTATGTTTGAATGCATCTTGCATGTTGCATATAAAATGCCAATACAAAAATGGCAGGCTCGAGGAAATGATAAAATTGTAGTGGCTGAAAATAAGGCAAGAATTCAAAAAGAATTTAGAGAAAAATGTGGCCTAGTTGTTGATACACCTAAACCGGGATTCGGCAACACCAACGACGCAAACACCGCCAGAAGATTTTTTAGAAATGCAAAGTTGTCCGCAGAAATAACAAATGTTGACTTAGAACTTATTAAAAAAATCCATATTCTGATGGTAGTTGTTGCTAGTGGACATGAAATCGATGTCAACAAATTTCGACTCTATCTTCATGATACTGCCAGATATTTTGTATCGTTGTATCCTCATTGTGCCTTCATTTCGGCTGTTCGTAGCATGCTTTTGGTTTTACTGGTGTCTTATCTTGATTCAATGCCATAGTTGATAACAGGTCTGATGCAAGTTTTATAAATTATAACTTTGCTATCCATTCTCATACATATATGGATTATTCCAAACCACATCTCTCAAACATCCGGACATGACTTCGGCCTTGTTTATTTGTCTTCTTAGGTCTCTCGCTGGGTCATGATAACTTGATAGTCTAAACCTAGATATTTAAACTGGTTTAGCTGTTCTATGGGTTTCCCCTCTACCACGAGCTTTCATCTACTTGGGTATTTCACAGTGGTAATGCATTTTGTTTTCTGCGTGGATATGTTCATGTTGAGTCGTCGACATGCTTGATAGAATCAATAAAGTTTCCTTTTTAGGCCATCCTCATCCTCTGCAATCAGGGCTGCACAATCCACATAGCACACTATACCGATTCTACTGTGACCGAATCCGTATCCTAGTTGTAGAGATTCCACATATTCTATTATTTCATCCATTAGCATATTGAATAGAAATGGGCTGATGTTATCTCTCTGACTGATTCTCCCTGGTGTTGATATGCTGGCCGTATCTATAGTTTAAGTTTTTTAATATATTACATACAAAATGCTATGTTGTTTCTATATAAATATGTGCGGTAAATGCTTTTAAAGAACAATTTAGTTGGGTAATTTTTCTAAAACAATGTTAAAACAGTTGATTTGAGATATGAATCTTAACAAATATACATAAAAACAAGTATGTACATTAGAGTATAGAATTAATTAGAATGAAAATTGTTAAACTTCAGATATCATTTAAATCAATATCAGTAATAACCAGGTACATGCAGCTTTGAAAGTTAAGTTTGAGCAAAACATTTGAATAGGCCATACTTCAATGAAAAATATTTGGAAATCGAGGTCCAAAAAGAAGAAGAACATCCTGGTTAAATAACCTGAAAACCTGCGTCAACACAACATCTGTGCCGCCTTTCCGCGCTGCTGTAGATAAAATAAAGATTGACATGATGACCGACAACACTCATCACTGATAGGCACAGAAAGAAGAAGAAGAAAACATTTGAAAAAAGATCGTTTTGTATATGTATACACCATTAACAACATTTTTTTTAATTTGGCTATAATATATTGACAATGATTTAATGCCAACTTATGTTGTCTCTTGCCCCACTGTGCGTCGTGGGATTTGCGTCTCCCTGGTTACAGTTGTTTGACAGTTGTTTGCAATTAGTAAAGACAGCTTATTGTTGTTGCAACCGCAAGCGCAAATTTAGTGCGAAAATGGAAAACCTAAACGAAATTGAGTCTGCGGCTAATGATGCAGTAGCACGTTTTAGGCCCTCCAAGTCCGGAATAAAGTATCGGTTAGCGTACAAGCACTTCCAAGAGTGGTGCGATACAAGAGGAGTACGGCAAGTTACCGAGGACGTTTTACTGGCATATTTTAATATAATGGAAAATGAAAATAAATGGAAATCTTCTACAATGTGGTCACGATACTCTATGATAAAATCCGAGTTTTTTTTTTATTTAGAATTTCCGCATCAACCATTAAAGGTTATTAGCGGGTTTTACAGATTTTACAGTTGTTATTACAAATACAAATTTACTAATTACAAATTGCGTATTAAATTACACATAATAAATTACAAATTACAAAGAGATCCATATAATATAACTTAAATTTTGTGTAGTAAACGTATGTCCTTAAGGAATTTGATTGTATTAGATACATTACTGTTTAAAATATCTTTAAGTTTCTTTGCAACTTCTGGTACGTTGTTGATGGCTCTTTCGTAGGAATAAAGAGGACATTCAATCAATACATGTTGAACAGTTATTGGACATTCACAATAGGAACATTCAGGTGGTAGTTCTTTTGTTATGAGATGCTGGTGAGTTAACGCTGTGTGTCCAATTCTTAGTCGGTTTATAATCACTTGTTGCCTTGTGTTTTCTGGAAATTGTAGTTTAGTGCCAATCCTAGTTTTCACGTTTTTAAGGTTAGCCTTAGTAGAATTCCACATTTGTTGCCAATTTTTTACACAGTGCTGTTTAATATTGAGCTGGATATCACTGAATGGAATTGTAGTCATAATTTCAGTTTGCTCGTCAGTAGCAGCTTTCTTTGCTAATTCATCTACTTTTTCATTTCCTGCGATACGTGTATGTGATGGTACCCAGAGAAATGTAACGTTCACGTGTCTGTTTTAATCCAAAATCCGAGTTAGTTATTAGAAAAAATGTGGATATAAGCAAATTTTTAAAGTTACGTGCCTTTCTGAAAAAAACAAGCGAAGGATATACTCGCAAAGGAGTCTAAAGTTTTCACTAAAGACGAGTTTGATAAATTTTTGTTTGAAGCGCCAGATAAGTTGTATTTAGGATTAAAGGTAAAAAAAATTATATTGCAAAGCATGTAGTATACTCTACTAAATTATAAAAATATTTCATTGATTGTTTTGTTAATTGGGGTTACCGGCGCCTGTCCATGCAACGAAATGGTAAAAATGAAGACTGTGGACATTGAGGATAAAGAAAATGTAATAATTATCAAAATCCCAGACAGTAAAACACGACAAATTAGATCTTTTATGATAATTGATCAAAACTACATTAAACTGTATAAAAAGTATGCATCACTGCGGCCTGAAAATTTCACAGAAAACCGATTTTTTATCAAGTTCCAAAATGGAAAGTGTTACCGAAGCGTCATGGGAATACATTCGAACAGCGCAATAGCCAAAAAAGTAGCTATACTCAATTCACAATCAAGATGCAGTGGAAATAAACAAACTAAGACACTTTAAATGTTACAAGGAGCACTCCGAAATAATTATTTACAATGTATACATTGTATAATTCCCAAATCATGATTTACAAAGTTTATACATTGTAAATCATTATTCGGGCGTGTT